TATATATAAGCCTGAATCTTCAAAGCCTTTATTTATATGTTTTAAACGCTTTTTATATAAACCTAAATTAGCGTAAACTTGAATTTTCAGAAAGCTAGATATCACTGCTTCGAATCAACGATACGGCATATATCCCTTATCAAGCCGCGTAATGGGATTTCAGATGAGGCACTTTTAACCACCCTATGCTTGAGCCCTGAATCACCTCTAAATTCACTTTGGCCTTCTGGAAATTGTAGCGAACATAAATCAGTTTTTAAGACCGATTTGTATATCGGTAGCCATTGACAGAGAAGGCCTAATATTCCTTCTAATTGAGCACTTTTCTGTGTCTATTGAAGAAACTTTTGAACTAGACATTGAATCGGGTTTTAAAAACCAAAGCAACTGTCAGCAGTGTCTTTTATACAGTTGCTACTGCGAATGTGACTCAACTAGTAAATACACTTCCAGAAACATATACAAAAGTTAATTGACACAACTATTGATTTCAGACACAATTACGGCGGTATTCCGAACAAATTTTCGAATGGATTTTCCATTCGACCTAGCTGAGCTGCTTGTGTATGCTGCCATGGGAGCCGCGTGTGGGGTGCTGGGTGCTGCCTTTGTGTACCTTCATAAAAGAATCGTCCTTTTCAACCGAAAACATAAGCGCATGTCAGCGTTCCTTCAACGCAATCGTTTTCTCTACCCGCTGATTATCACGACACTCATTTCCACAGTTACGTTCCCACCGTTCCTGGGAAAGTACATGGCTTCGGAGGTAAGTTTTTGAGTTATCACTTTAAATGCGGATTATTTTTCTTTATTACTCTGATATTAAAGGAAATATACGAAAGACCAGGTTTTGAAAGACATGCTTTGTGATGTACTGAGTCGACGGAGGAAAACATGTTTTTTGTAGGCACTTGCAAATAGATTGTTAGCAGTTAAGTAATAGTTATTACTAATTCATGAGGCACATTTTATTTTTTAGTTGATAAACGCTCATTGTGGAAGTGTAGCATATGCATAGAACTGAATATTTTAAACCCTAAAAAGTAAAAAGATAAAGTCGCTTCCATATCTAGCATTGCCGAAGCAGGGTAGCTATGTAACGGTACAATTGGCTGTTGACAGAAATTTGTATCTCATATTTTATAGTAAGATGCCGATTGCCCTCCTCGATGCCTTCCATTCCTACCATTGTTTAACATCCCTTTGTAGGGGCATTATTAGCCAATTTTTTGCAAAGCGTGGAAACGAAAGCAGGCAAAATTTTAAATGCTGGAAACAGAACGAAGGGGTAAAATTAAAAATTATTTTATTATTATTATTATTAAGAGAGAAATCTCCATGTTAATGATAAATGCGTTTTTTTGTAGTGCAAACATCCACTAGCCTCCTTAAGAGATGTTTGTGCCATACGCTTGATACAAATAAAAATGAATAAAAACATCACAACGCAAAAAGTAAAAGAAGCGAATTGAAGCTAAATAATATGGTTAACGCATAACCGGCTCTAGTTTTATATATTATTGTTAATCCCTCTCATTTGGTCATATCCTATTTTCTTTATCCTTTTACTATTATTGAGTTCGCTTTTTGGTCTGAGCTTTCCTTATTATTTCAATCTCTCAGTCTTCTAAATATTTTCATCAATGATTTTTCGACTTAGACCGTGATGGCAGTACCCAATATACTTAAGTACAGGCTTTGTCAGTTGTATACAAATGTTAATTTATTTTGCTATTCAATTTTAACTGAACAAAAATGTGGGTTAGTGATCAGTGATAAAAGCCGTAAGCGTGCTTCACATACCATGATTTATGCCATATGGACATCGTTCAAGGGTTTCTGATGGGGGAGGGAGTTTCTTACAAAAAATTCCAAAATTTATAATGCCACTCCTCTAGGAAAAGTAAAGAATGATTGAGAAGTTCTACGGCGCGGTAGAACTTCGCTCTGTATGCCACCCAAAGCTTTTCATAAACCAGACGAAATGTGTACGTGTATCAGATGCGGAGAAAAATATGATAGATACCAGACCTCTAAATGTCCCCGTATGACCTCGGTAAGAAACCTAACATTTAATTTAAAATATAATGTTTCTCATAATTGCCTATAAGTATATTTTTGTTTAAAATGTGTATCTACTAATCTTTGTATTTTCTCTGACAAAAGAACACGAATTTTACCAAGCTGAACTAACTTGTACTGCATATATACGTACCCCTTTGCTTATTGTAATTTCCAGCTAACAACTCATGAAGCAATCCACGACTTGTTTTCTAATTTCACATGGGGATCAACGGACCTTGGCGTCGATGAAATGATTGTCGTTCAACGATGGCAGGTACCAAAGATTAAAATGTTATGTAGAATCCAGTCCTGTTCAGATTGTAAAAGACAGTAAAAAAACATTTACGTTTATTTATGTTGAAATGTAGAAGTATCTAGTACTGCCTTTGTGAAGTAACATATGACAGCTTAAACCTACGTGAGTTCTAAATAGCAGAATACTAGAATACTTATTATACAAATAGATTAAGCTACACTTCTAGTACAATAAACTTAATTGATTTTTAGCTGCGAATGTAGACGTCATTTCTGTTTTTACAACCTATCACTTCTTATGAATTTGCCAAGCTAAAAGAACATGCATTTATCAGGAACCTTTACGTTTCCGGAAAACCCGACTTTATGAAGTTCAGACGAACCGAAGTTCAGACCAGTAACTGAATAAAATGAAATATAAATTTCCAGGAAAATCCACTCGACTCATTCCATCTAACACTCATCATGTTTGTTTTAATGAACCTGTGGATGACTGCTTTGGCGGCTACAATACCCGTCCCCCTCGGTATGTTTAGATACAAGGTAAAGGCTATTTACAACTACAAATTAGCAAGTGCTGTTGTTCATCTGCTAAATTGTAGCCTTACAGTTAACACAGTTAGTCATGATGCATATACAACGCCACGGTTTGCGTAACTCTTTAACAATAGTAACTTGCAAGTAATAACAACAACTATATTATCTCAATTTATATAAGCGTTTCAAGTGTCAACTTTGAACTTAGCATGTACATTATACGAGAGAACTCAAAACATTTTTTACCCACATACATTACTGTGTGAGTCTAATTACCCTTGTTGTGTTTTAGTTCATATATAAAGACCTTCTTGGCACTATAAGTGGAATCAGGTCCGCTTAGCTAAAATCTTTTTCGCATAATAGTGGTAATACGTTGTCTTTATGTTGAAACTATCAGTGGATCAGAACCAGAATTTAGATTATTGGTTGGTAACGAGTTGATGAATCTTCGCGGTATGGTTAAGTAATTTTAGGTAGTATTTAAAAAGGCTCGGGCTTTTTGGATGGGAAAAGCCTAACACAACTATTGAAATGCGTGCTTATTGAATGTTATAATAAACATTAATAAAAATGAAAACGAGCATCTACTAAATTAATACTTAATTCCCTGTTGCCGTCCAACTTAATAATCATCACACGTAAACTATATATATATTATGAAAAATTGTCTTTCTTTTCTTGCAAGAATAAGCCTCGCATTACCGTTCTCCTTTAAGACCAATACAATTTTTTAAGTTTCAAAATCGAGTTTACGTAGATTATATATGTAGCTATATAAGCCACCTATATAAGATAAAGTGTAATCGCTCGGAATCAGTTAACGAATACAGAGATCCAGTTCATATGTAAACTAAAGAAATATTAATGATATTTAGTATAATTAATATTTCTTTAGTTGATTTACTTACTAAATATAAATAAATGCCATTTCTATTCAGGACTTTTCATCCCTGTGTTCAAGATGGGCGCAGCATTCGGTCGACTTATTGGCGAATCAATTGCACAGTATTGCCCCCAAGGCATAAGGTATTAATAATGATTTAAACATGTTATATGCTAAACTTGGATCCAATTGTTTGACAAGTATCTAATATAAACGTATACATAGTGAAGAAATACCCGGATGCAATCAGGGTAATTAGGAGAAGTAGTTGATTTTGAGAAATTTAGAACCATATCAGTATAGCCGAATTAGAGGCAGAAAGCAATCAATAATGTCTTTGTTACATCAAAAATGGTCTATAGCAAAACAAAAATTGTTGGCTCTATTATTATTAAATAAATATGCATACCTCTCGTGGTCTTGCTTGTGTTTGCAAACTATATTTCTCATTCAGCGAACAATATCGATGGTAGAAAGTAGCCTCTTTTCGCGTGAAGTCAGCAGTGTGGTATACGTCACGCGATACTACCCCAGTAAGAGCACTACAAAAATATTTATAGGCGCATGTGCTCACAGACCTACTCTCAGTCTACAAGCTTATACGT